TCCCCTTCGTAGCTCTAGGCTCCACCCCGTCCCCCTCTTGCACCAACCGCGTGTGTTCGTGTGTTTGTGATTGTGTGAAGTGTAGGAAGGCTCGAAAATACAATGGCCGAGTGCGGAGCTTCTCCGGGCTGCCCAAATTCTCCATCACCAGAGTCTGTTCACGAATATGGGAACAGAGAAAACGTCATGTTTTTCAATGACGAAAGACTTAGTAACTAGGTCACCAATCATCTTTCCTGTTTCACAGCAGCACAACATTCTGTTTTATGCAGTCTTTTACACACTTAACTTTGTGATATACAACAAACTGTCAATTACATTTCTATACAACTCTGGTTGTTCAAAGGGTTTACTTTCTTCACTCTGTTGAAAATTACATACCGTTGGAGTCTTTACTTTCTAACATCTCATATTTTTCTACCAGTTGTTCAATTTTGCTTTTCTGTGAGTGAGAGAAAAATTACCATCAAGGATCCCTTTTGATTTCCTTCACTACAAACTGAATTGCATTATTGTTTTCTGCTTTTACAATACGGTTCCTTTTCTGTAATTTCTTTCTTGACTTCTTGACTTACGCTTCTTATACAACATAGAACAATTCCTTTTTATGTGTTTTTCACAACCACGATTGTAGCACTTCTTTATTTCATTTATCACGACACCTTCTCCTGTATACCTGTGATTATTTCTTTCCTTTACTGTATTTCTTCTTCCTGTCTTCTCTCCCATTCCTCTCACAGTTTTCCAGAAAAAAATTCAAAAGTTAAATTTGTTGGCGTTGGGCCAGAACTCTGGGGTGTTAATAAGGCACAGAGCTCAAGAAAATGTCCTAGAGGCTGGTTAAATCCCACTTTAATGTTAGCAGAGCAAAGAGACTTAGAGACTTGAGTGATTGAGTGACTTAGAGATTTAGACATGTGGAGAAAACAACATGACAGAGTTCTTAATACTTAGATTATATTGATTATGGCAAAACATATATACATAATTACAGAGTAAGGAACATTTGGCATAATAACATAGTAACAAATTCAAAAGTTAAATTAGCTTCAGCCATAGCTTCCATGGCACAAATTAATCCATCCCAGGATTCATCAAGGGAGGATAGGATTACATAAACCTTGTTTAGGTCTGTGAACATCATCTCTCTTTCTTGTAATTCTGCAGAGCCCTTTAATTGTTTGTAAATGTTCACGCACTGAGCCTCCTTTACTGAGCTTTGTTTGATATATCTTTCTTGCCAAATAAACTTTGCTTCCTGCTGTTTTCCTTACATACAGTTTTTTAAAGCAGTTGGCTGTCCTCCAAGCCAAGGATTATTGTAGCTCTGGATTTTTCTTCTCTATGCAGCCATGAGGAGAAGGAATGTCTGTGGGGGAGTTGTTTATCACAGGTTTCGTCCTTCCTGAACATTTCCATTTTCACACTCCAACTGACATAGTTTCTTTCATTCAGCCTTCCCAGTGGCATACTGGGGCTAAGAGACATCGCCATCATTGGAGTTAATTTCTGCCTTCCTTTTTAATTTTAATTTTACTTGTCGTTTTGTTTTTCAAGGCAAGGCTCTGGGCTTGAATGGGCCCATGACCCTGATGGGTTTGGTTGCCCCCTTTATAAATAAGAGGGACATAGTGATGCTGTGGGTTAAACCGTAGAGCTTCTAGGCTGCAAGGTTGAAAGATCAGCAGTTTGAACCCACGCAACAGAGCTCCCATTGCTTGTCCCAGTTCCTGCCAACCTAGCAGGTCAAAGTAAAGGTAAAGGTAAAGGTTCCCCTTGACAATTTTTGTCCAGTCGTGTTCGACTCTAGGGGGCGGTGCTCATCCCCGTTTCCAAGCCATGGAGCCAGTGTTTTTGTCCTAAAACAATCTTCCATGGTCACATGGCCAGTGCGACTTAGACACGGAACGCTGTTACCTTCCCACCATGGTGGTCCCTATTAATCTACTCGCATTTGCTTGCTTTCAAACCGCTAGGTTGGCAGGAGCTGGGACAAAGCGACGGGAGCTCACTCCGTTGTGTGGATTTGATCTTACGACTGCTTGGTCTTCTGACCCTGCAGCACAGGCTTCTGCGTTTTAGCCCACAGCGCCACCACGTCCCTCCCAGGTCAAAAGCATATAAAAATGTGAGTAGATAAATAGGCACCACTATGGTGGTAAGGTAACAGCGCTCCATGTCTAGTCACACTGGCCACCTGACCACAGAAACTGTTTCCAGACAAACACTGGCTCTGTGGCTTGGAAATGGGGATGAACACTGCCCCCTAGAGTCGGACATGACTGGACAATTGTCAAGGGGAACCTTTACCTTTACTTTAGTTATAAATATATTTATGTGCAGAATAGCACAGCAGAGTCTTGCCTTGAATAAAGTTATTTATTTTACAAAAACATGATTCACGTTTCATCCATATGACAAGGGATAGACACCCGAGAGCTGGAGCAGAAGAACATGAGGGAAAAAGGGATATTGCGAGCAGTGGATACCCAAGACTTAGAGAAAGAGTTGAAAGGGTTAAGTGTGGCTACTCCATCTAAGGTAGAAATGGTGGGAAAAGAGGAGAAAGGGTGGGCTCTGGAGGAAGGGGGGTTAGGGGAAATAAATACAGCCCGGGACAATATCCCGGCTGGTTGGGAAACTGTTTGGATCCAGGACCCTTGGACAGGGAAATGGGAACAGGTTTGGGTGCCCAAGGCTGAAGCAGAGAGCCGTAGAAGAAGGGGCTTACCCCAGAGACCTTCCTATTGGGGTGAGTCTGAGACCCGGGAATGGAGGAGAAAGATTAGGGAGGAGAAAGAGGCCATCGCCAGAGAAAACAAAGCACGCCGGGCATGGCATCTAGAAGAACTGCGGAAGATGGGGTGTTTTCTGGACCTTGGGGCAACCCACAAGGAGAGGGATCCCCACTGTGGGGATGGATGGGGGATGAAGAGACCCGCTTTTGAACCAGACCGAGCCTGAGTTTGAGAATGTTGTTCCAGAACGGGTGATTGCTGGACCTTGGAACGTTGATACGGTTAACCCTTTTGAAGAGAATTTATGGTTACCCTGGCGAGAGCCGTTGCTCGAACAAGAGACTCAAACAAGCGAACGTGTTAAAGTTAGAACCCCATTGGTTGAGTTTATAAATGACACAAATCCTTTTTGTAAAACTGAGTCTGGAGATTTATTTAAGAAAAGGGAAGCCCACATACATGGACCTTCACAATGAATCAATTATTTTTTCTCATGTAGTATATATTTACATAGTCCAAAAGTATAACAGCTTTTCATTCCTTATTACTTGTTCTAATTGTGTTTAAATTAGTTGCTTGAAGCCTCTGGAATTTCACAGCTTACTAATCCTTCAACAGTTTTTTTCTCTCACCCATAAGGAAGCATCCATGCTAGCTCCTTTCACGTGATCAGACAGCCATTCTGGGAGTATATCTTCATTTCAAGGTAAGAGAGGTATTGAAAGACTGTTTTTACCAGTTTCACTTCCCCGCAGTGAGTTTCCATTAGGGAAGTGTCTCCAGTGTCCCA